TTTTGCATCATCCATTAGTTGAGTTGCGCTCAAACTGGCCCAGACATCACGAATATCAAAGAAGAAAGTTACTCAAAACACGTTAAAACTACATAATTTAGACACCCTTTAAAGTCCTTCATCAAATTCACATCATACAAAAGGAAAAAATAAACATAAAAGAACCTAACCAGGTAGACAAAAATCAATCCTGAAAGCAAAGAAGAAGATCAAAATATGAAATTTGAGCATTTTGAGTCCAAATGCTGCTCTGAGTTAACATTAATCAATCAAACCAAAAAAAATTGAATTCAAACACAAATTTTACATCATCCATTAGTCAAGCTGCACACAAACTGACCCAAACATCACAGTTATCAAAAAAAAAAAAGTTACTCAAACACATTATAACTACATAATATAGACACCCTTTAAACCCCTTAATCAAATTCACATTATACAAAAAGAAAAAGAGAACCATAAAAAGGAGCTAACCAGGTAGACAAAAAGCAATCTTGAAAGCAAAGAAGAACAACAAAAAGTGAAATTTGAGCATTTTTAAGTCCAATTTCTGCTCTGAATTTTCTTCAATTTGCTTATAATTTCTTGTAATACATTTCCCTTTTGCCCATTGTGGGAACCAACCACCATAGATAGAGAAAAGGAATGTAGACTTAGTATAGAGTAATTGATGGGACGTGCAGTAGATAGTACTTGATTATGGACTTTTTTTTCTTTGTTTAATTTTTGTTCATGATCCTATGCTTATGCAGCCTATTGTTTCCCCTGTACCCTTGCTTAATCAACTGCCACTTGGCTTTACCAAACATTAGGCTGAAATTAATTCGGTAGGAGGATGTGGAGGTCGTGTATTATAGTATGTTTGGAGTTGTAGTTTTTGATACCTATCATCATTTGTTTAGTGTGTCTCCGTTACTTTACTATTTTTGTTGTTGTTCATATTCTTTTCTTTTGATTTATCACTACTTTTCTTATTCATTGTTATGTTTTCCTCTTTTTTATACCCGAAGTTATTGTAATTGAATCGAAAGTGTTTCAGTAACAACATCTCTACTCCACGAATTAGTGATAAGGACTGTATAGACTCTACTCCTCCCAAACCCCACATATAAAATTTCACTCAAGATGTTATTATTGTAAGTATTTCATGGTCACGTGGGATTTGAAGAAGGAATAGTTTATTTTAATGCAAGTATTAATAGATGTTTTCACGATTTGACTTCGCAATCTATAAATTCACAGAAAAACTCTATTGTTGCTCTATAGCGTTCTTTCATTTCAATGTCTATGGCCTTTTTATTATCTTGAAATGTTTAAATATCATTTTTTATTTTAATACAACTATCAAGAATTTTATAGTATTTATATTTATAAATTTAATGAGCGTTTAAATAATACTCCCCTTCCAGTTCCTAATTGTATGTATTCAGATGAACTTTATTAATTAAATAAAATGTCCCGTTTGCAATTTGAAAAAAAAATACAGATCTTATTTTTATCATTAAAGATAAAGAAATTATTTTCAATAAATACGGGAAAATAATACTTCAAAGCCGTTATGAAAAATAGTAAATGACGAAAATGACTAGTAACTAAAATACTAGGGAAAAAAAATAACAAACGTGGAAAATATTTAGAAGCTACAAAATGCGAGTGCATGATAAGAGCACACATATGAGAATATTTCCCTCCAAGTTTTGGAAAAGTGAGTTGGGTCCCATATCTTTTTAAATTTACATTAATGTCCTTTAATTAGTGGGAAAAAGTTTGAATTTGTTCATGCTTCATTGGACTTTGATACACGGAATTGGAATCAAATGGCCATTAATCATTGCGCCATTAACGGCTGCCAAAGGTAGAGGCTCCTACAATGCCAAGCTAAATTAAAATCGGTGAATTATGACAGATTTGATATGATATGATATGATTTTATGTTATATTTTAATAGATTTATCTCGTTGATATGGTTATAAATTATAACGTTAGAAAATATATTAAAAAATGTGATATGCAAGTTATGATTGGCTGATATGATTTTATATTACATTCAAGCTGGACTTTATGTTTATTGGACTAGTTATAAATCATGTTGAATTGTTATTGCGTTAGAGTTGCAAATAAAGAGGAGGAAATTAAAGAAATGCATTTTCTAAATGTGGCATGTAGAATCGATATGACTTTCTATTGTATTTAACATAAATGTCTTGTTGAACTAGTTACGATATGACATACTATCTGACTGATTCGTCTGATAAACAGCCCTACTCCTAAGCTCTCCCCTTCTTCTTCATCATTTCTTATTCATTTTTCTTCTCCTTTATAGTAGATTTTCTCAACCATCTTCTTTTTCTTCGTTTTGTTGTCTTTTTTTTTTTCTTTTTCTCGTTGATTATTCTTTTCTTCATTAGTGAATGTCTTTTGCAAATGTGAAAAACCACAGTTGGGACGAAATCATTGTCGGAGAAGAAGAAGTTTGATGAAAATCACAATTGAGATTTAGGTGCAACAAAATCAAACTCGACTCGTCCAATCAGTCCGACCCGTTTAAGTTTGGGCAGGTCATTCATGAGTTCAACCCATTAAAAGTTGGAATGATATGTAACCTGAATCGGCTTATGAGCTATCTTGTCAAAATATTTTTAATTTTTTTTTTCTAATTTGATATGTTATATATAGGCATAATAATTTTTTTTTTTATTAAATACTAAATTATTTTAAAAGACCAAGTAAAATAATTAAACTTGATAAAAATTAGATTAGATTGGGTCTTGACCCGTTATGTAACCCATTACCTAACTCATTTTGACCCAAACAAAGTTGAGTTGGGTTGGCTCTTTGGCCCGATCATTGTTTGAACCCATTATGACCCGCCAAATTTAACCTAACAGGCCAAATTGCCACCCCTTATTGAGATCTATTTTTTTTAGGAAAAATTACTAGGATGAGTACCTTTTAATAAATAATTATTGATTTTAACGATACTTTTTATTTATACCATTTATAGCAATACATAACAATACTATATTAAATCTGTAATATGTATTAAATGTGAATTATGTATGCAATATATATGTATTATAACTATTTTCTTAAATATATTATGTTTGTTTGGTAAGAAATTGACACATTCTATTATAAGTGTATTAAAATGTATGATAAATGTACTACCCATCAATAAAACTTGTATTATATGTGAATAATAAATTGTTATCTGTAATATATATTAAAACTGCATTATAAATGTATTAAAAGTGATCAAGTGAAAAAAAAATATTATTGCTATAAATGATAAATATTTTTTTAATATTGTATATTTATGTAAGTTTCCCGTTTTTTTACAATGACATTTTTCTCTAATTTTTTACCCGAATATAACCCTTTTGACTTTTAACCCCTCCATTATTTAAGTTTTGCCACAATGAAATTATTTATTCATGTGTTATATAGCTTGGCATCATTTTTAATTTTTTTTAAAAGTGTATAGACATTTTAAATGATGCTAGTGAAATAGCTCTTTCGGCTATATTTTATGTTACTTCACCTACACATATCATTAGATTTTAATCGAAGTGTGTTTGATAAACATTCCAAACAAGAAATCTGCACACTTGATAATTCACAATATAAAAATCGTAAAAATATTGACTTCATTATTTTTCCCATTCACTCAAATAAATATTATCCCTTTAAAAAGAAAAGAACACTCAAGAAAACTAGCATTTGTAATAAAATAAAATCGTGGTAATGATTTTAGGAAGAGATAATTACATTATAGTGTATCTCACAAAGTTACATTACAAATTAAAATCACTATATATGAAAATTCACCATAATAAATAAATAAATAAATATAAAAATATATTGGTAAATATGTATAAATGGCAAGAATAGTCTGATTTTGAAAAAACAATTTTCTACTTCTGCATTTTTTAAGAAGGAGAAATTTTTAATTTCTTCTTAACAACAGAAAAACTTATTCTGCGTCCAATTTAAAATAGTTTTATATGTTAGCCAAACACCTTAGTTTTCTTAAAAAGTATTTTTTCGTCAAGATAAGTGTTTTTGGTCTCTTAACAGCAATGCCAAACCGGTTCTTTGTTAAGATTGTTAAATTATAATGAAACTCCATCATTGCTAACAAGTAACAATAGAATCCGATTAATTTTTTTTTTACACTCACATCAAATATACCTTGAAATTTTTATCTTTTACCATGAAAAATTGAATGGACCCAGTTACTTCATTTCCAATGAGATACTGGGATTGAATTTTTATTTCGAAAATCATCTTAATAATTAACCTTCATTCTCCATCTCAATCGACTTACCAAAAACACTTATTTTCCGCCCCTATTTCATAATTAAACTCCACTATTGTCAATAACATATTTTTATTATTTTTTCTTTCACAAACTTAATAAAAGATTGATGTCCAATTACCGTTAAAGTTTGAAGTTTCAAAATTTGAAAATTGAATTTTCGCAAAATAAAAAGAATAATTATGTATTCTGATCTTATTTCGAAAATTTTGGGTGATTTGGAGTAGTTTTTGGATGAATATCATGCTTAAATTCAACAAAAAAATAAGAAGTTAACTTTTTGTATAAGTCATATATAATACTGTATATTATTATATATAATCTGTATAAATACCTTTTATAATTTTATAAAAAAATATTATATATTAAGTGTATAATATTGTATATAAAATTTTAAAGCATTTTTGTAAAAATAAATATTGAAATTTCTGTATATTATTATAAACCGAATGTATATTATTGTATACTGAATTAAATTTTGGACTAAAAATTTGTAAGACAAGTTTTGAACTATATTTTTATTTTATAATATTTAAATTAGATAAGTGTACCTCTCTGAAAATTTTCCCAATAATATAACGATATAGTAATAGTTTTAGCTTCATACATTGTTTTTGTTTTTCTTTGTGGCAACCAATTACTTTTTTTGGGAAGTAAAAAATTAAATATAAATATTTAGAAAATCTTTTTAATGATAACAAGAAGCTTTTAAAGAATTTTGCAGTGAACCTCCCATCACTCGGCGTCACTGTGCCGCTTCCGTCCGCCGCGAACCACCGTGCCCATCGCCTCTTTCTTACCGGCGCCATTCCCGATGCCTTCTTCCGGTGCGGCGGTTGATCCATCTATCAAGAGTTCATCATCGATACCTAATCCAGAGGTTGAAGAGGATGAAGACGAGGAATACGAAGAAATTGAGGTTGAAGAGGAGATTGAAGTTGAAGAAGAAATAGAGGTAGAAGAAGAAGAGGAAGAAGAAATGGAGGTAGAAGAAGAGGTAAAGGAAGAGGGGGAGGAGGAGGAGGAGGAGGAGGAGGAGGAGGAAGAAGTAGGAGGTGAAGGATCAATTTCACCGAATGTAGATGATCAAAAAGGTTGGTGCTTTGTGTTATCAACTCAGTATGCTGATATCTAAGTTGTTGATCATTATTATTTGAAGAATTAAAAGGTTAAAAACACACCCAAGTATTTTGATTTGTTGAGTTTCATACATGAACCATACCAAAATGTTCAAGTGAGGTGTGTGTTCGATAATCATTTGGTGATAGTTTAGTTAGGAAACTCACACACCCTATGATTCAGGTATAAAACTAAAAAAATAAGAATTGTTTTTGATCCTTCACTCTTATTTAAAATAACACTTGTGTATCTACTTTCGTGCTATTTTTAATTGTCTGTATGCTCTTTGCTTGCCTGCTATTTCATCAGAAGAGGTAGAGGAGGAGGAGGAGGAAGAGGAGGAGGAGGAGGAGGAGGAGGAAGAAGAAGAAGAAGAAGAAGAAGAAGAAGAAGTGGAGGAGGAGGAGGAAAAGGAAGAGGAAGAAGAAGTACAAGGTGAAGGATCAATTCCAATGAATGTAGATGATAAAAAAGGTTAGTGTTTTGTGTTACCAATTCTAGTATGCTGATATTAAGTTAGTCATTATTATGTGAATTTCTTTTTAGATACAATACTTGGGTATCTACTTTTTTGCTATTTTTAATTGTACTTATGTGTCTTTGTATTGCTTGCCTGCTATTTCATTAGAAGAGGTAGAAGAGGAGGAGGAGGAGGAGGAAGAAGAAGAAATACAAGGTGAAGAAGAAAAAGGTCAAGGATCAAGTCTACTCAATGTAGATGATCAAAAAGGTTATTTCTTTTGTATTATCAACTCTAGGATGCTGATACTTAGTTCTTAATCATTATTATGTGTTTTTTTTTTTTTGGAAATAATACTTGGGTGTCTACTCTCTTGCTATCTTTAATTGTCTTGTCGCTTTTGCTTGCTTGCTATTCTGTCGAGTAACTTTCATTGTTTGTCTGGTTGTTTTTCATGCCAAATCATTGTCATTTTGTGAGAAGAAATGGAACATTCATTGCCTTAGGGAGAAAAGTGCGTCTGCTACTTTTAAGTCTTATTGGGATTGCTATTTACGCTTTCATTCAAGCTTTTATTTTTCATGCCTTTCCCTTTTTGATTTGTGTCCGTTTTTTGGGTGTGTGTGTATGTGTGAGCGTGCGCTTGAAGGAGACTTAGAGAGCCAATGACAAAAAAACATTCAATAAGAGTATGCATTATTTTCCTTTTTAAAGAAACAAATCAATTTACATTTAAAACTTGCCTTTCTTGTGATTTGCCTCGGATCTACTATTGTCGTTTTATTCAATGCTATTACCCATCACATATTTCTCCATTTGCTTCTCTACAAGGCTTCAATCTATTATCGTTATCTACTTTGTTTCCTTTGTTTGTTCTTTTTTGTCATATTCCTGATAACTTATCCAATTACAATTTTAATTGCCGATGCATCTATTTATTTTCTTGAAACTGGTACATGTATTCCTCAGCATACCGCCATACCCCGTATGCTAGCCACCTCCAAAAGTGTGCTTACATAGACAACTAATTACAAAAAAGCCTAGAAAATCCACCACCTGTATTTCATCTGCTATACATTGTTCTGTACACCAAAAACATAAAGTAGGAATATTGTTACTTTCTAAAAAAATAAAATAAAGTAGAAATGCATTTCCCTTTGATCTTCCTTTGCAAATTCTCTCATTCCTCTCCTTCCATATGGTCCACCATATGTAAGTTGGGACAATTTTCCACCATCTCTTCTGGCTTTTGCTCCCTCCCCTTTTGATCTAGCAACTCAATAGATTAGCAGTGTGCTCTGGCGTTGTCTGGCTTTCCCAGCCAAGGTAATGAATAGGGACCAGACTTGGGAAGTTACCTTGCAGTGGAGGAAGATGTGGTTGTTTGTTTCATTGGCTCCTTACTAAGAGGGCATATGGATTCTAAGCAGTGTTATGAAAGGCGCTTGCCTTTCGCCTTTGGTGACAAGGCGAAGCGAGGCGAGGGGTCATCGCCTAGTTCCAGCAAGGCAAGGCGACTTCAGCGCACCACAGTGAAGGCGACGTGGCAATGCAATATGCGTCACTTTTTTTTTTTGTTGATCATTTAATTATCTGATTTGATAATTAAAAGCCAAAATTAGGGTTTTTTTGGGGGTATTTTTGCAAACTTCACCTTCGCAAGACCGCTCCTCCTCTTCTCCTTAGATTTCGAAAGTCGCACGACCCCTGGAGACCTCTGTCTTTACGAATCGCGACTGCTGCTCAGGTATGACTGTTGGAGACCTTTTTTTTTTCTTCTTCAGAGTTCAATTCTTCTCTTCTTCTCTTCTAGTTCTTCTCTTCTTTTCTTCTTCTCTAGTCTCTACTCTGTTTTTCAGTACTGAGACTATGCTCTGATTTTCAGTGGTTGTGGTAGTGACTAGTGAACTCCCTCTGTTTTAGTGGTAGTGAACTGAGTGCTCTCTGTTGTAGTGCTCTGCTCACCACAATCTGCAATTTGCCTATATTTTTTTAAAAAAATTAATCTTTCTATAATTATTTTTTCCCTACTTAATTTAGTTTTATACTAATTAATATAATATTTATTTGTCCATAAATAGTGAATTTGGACTTTTAGTATCTACTATTAGTTTTTGAATTGAAATATTTGCTAATATATGTTATTGCTATTAGGATTTTGGATATTTATATATGCAATTAAAATTTTAAATTTTTGGTATTAATTGGCGCCTTAATTCAAAAAGGCGAGCGCCTCGCCTCATGGCGAGGCAGGCCCTTGTTGTCTTTCGCCGTCTAAAACACTGATGCTAAGTGATATTTCCCTTTCTGTAATGCCTTATGGGTGAGACATGTCTTTCTTACTACCTGCCAGGAGAAGCATGGCACCTACTAAGGTGCCACACTTTTTCAAGTAGCTCTCCAGGGTTCTCTATCTCTCCCTGTCATCTTTAGAAGGCCTATCTTGTAGACTCTGTTGCAATTTCCCATTAGCGTTGGGACTCCATTTGATGATATCAGGCACATTGATAGTCCCTGTGAAGGCTCCTCTTCTGCCAAGTAGAGCAATCACTCTTTAAACCTCCCAATCAATCAAAAACCTTATGGAAATTAGGTTCCATCCGTAAGCTGTCTAGATGTTCTCTACCATTGCCAACTTAAAAGGTGATATCCTTCCTCGGGTTGGGCAAGAATAACCTGATTGTCCTTCATAGCCTAACTCCATAGGTGTCAGTGGACTCATAAGTGCACTACTGCCCATTTTGTCCATACTTCTATTGTATTACATTCTTCCATAAGGCTGGTCTATCTTTATCATATCTCCACAACCATTTCTTAAGTAGACTGTTGTTTTGGAGCTTCAGGTTTCTAACCCCCATACCTCCCTACTCGTTACTCTGTTGCACCATGTTCCATTTCACCCAATTGAAATCTTTATGCTCCCTTTGCCATGCCATAGGAAGTTTCTTCTCAATTTGTCTAGAACTTGGAGTACTTTGGCAGGCATAGGAAAGAGAAGAAATCACATAGGTTGGTAACGAGTCAAGAGTACAATGGTTGAGAAGTGGAGACAAGAACACAAAGTTCTTCCATCGGATGGCTAATTCCCACGAAAGATACAATCCATTGACTTATTAGAGGTAGAAGGTCAAGTCATCACTGAGCTGGAAGCAATCAAGAGTGCCATTCAAAGCTACTACCAAAACTTGTATGAAGAAACTGAAGAGTGGAGACCTGATCTCAATATACATGGTGCAAAAATCATTTCATTAGAAGATCAGATGTGGCTACAGAGGAACTTTGATAAGGAAGAAGTATGGGAGAGCATCAAGTCATGTGCAATTGATATGGCACCTGACCAGATGGTTTCAATATGAATTTCTTTCAGAACATCTGGGAGGTAGTTAAGGGTGACATCATGGGTACAATTTATTATTTCCATGAGCACCAAGCATTTGAAAGAAGTTTGAATGCTACACACATTGCCCTTATCCCTAAAAGAGCAGGAGCAATGGAACTAAGGGACTTTAGGCCCATTAGTCTGATTTCAAGAGTGTACAAAATAATTGCAAAAGTACTAGATGAAAGGCTAAAAAAAGTAGTGGAGAGACTGGTCAACAAACATCAAATGGCTTTTGTGGAAGGAAGACAGATTATGAATGTTGCCTTAATAGCTAATGAATATATAGATACAAGGATCAGGGGTGAGGTAGTTGGCTTGATGTGCAAATTAGATATTGATAAGGCCTATGACCGTATGAATTGGGGCTATCTGAGTGTTTTGAAACATATGCGTTTTGGGGAAAGATGGCTGAAGTGGATTAGTTTTTGTATTAAAACTATCAGGTTCTCTATTTTAGTGAATGGAGAACCTACTAGGTTTTTTCCTGAAAAAGAACTAAGAAAGGGATCCTTTATCTCCTTTCCTGTTCATACTTGCAATGGAAGAAGGACTTGGCAGCATGATGAGAGTAGCAATTCGTAACAATTGGTTGAGGGGTTTCAGAATTGCAGAGGGTGACCTAGAGATATTTCATCTGCTATATGCAGATGACACTATCATTTTTTGTGAAACTGTAGTGGAGCAGGCTAGCTATATTAGAGTCATGCGGGTGGTTTTTGAAGCCATCTCTGGTCTAAAGGTGAATTGGAGGAAAAACAATATTTTCCCTATTAAAGAGTCACAAACATTCAAGTCTCTTCTCCTTCTCAAAATATTCAACTATCTTGCAAGTGTGCTTGGATGTGGTGTGGATACTTTGCCCAATGAGTACTTAGGCATGCCTTTAGGCAGGAAGTTCAAAGAGGTAGAGATATGAGATAGAATTATAGAGTAGTCTGAAAGCAGACTAGCCCAATGGAAGTCACAATACTTATCTTTAGGGGGAAGGGTCACACTGATTAATTCAGTGTTGGATTCCTTGCCCACCTATATGATTTCTTTGTTTCTCATCCCGGACAATGTGGTGGAAAAACTGAACAAATTAAGAAGAAATTTTTGCGGAGAGGGAATAAAAGAGGGGTTATAATCTGGTAAAATGGGAAGTGACTCAATCTAGCAAAGGCCAAAGAGGACTAGGAATAAGGAATCTGAGGACCCAAAACAATTGCCTTTTGATGACGTGGCTTTGGAGATTTTGTGAAGAAGAGTCCTCTCTTTGGAAGCAAGCAATTATTCATTAGTATGGGCAAACCAACTCTTTGTGCTCAAATGAGGTAAATACTACATATGGGGTGGGTGTTTGGAGGGAAATCATGAAATTCCCCTCTAAATCTCAAGTCCCAAAAAATATCTCCCTATCTTCCTAATATGTTGAACTGTCAAGTCTATTTGGCAAGATGTTTTCTACAAACTTGGGAATTCATCTTTCATAATCACGTCCTCAAAATTTTACTCTCCTCCTATTTCCGACATTGAATGAGATATTTTCCCGAAAATTATCTTACCCATTCAAGATATCTCCACAACCCACAACCGAATGGCAAAATGATAACTCTAGTTCTCCAATCTCCTCCATAACCCCATTTTAATCTACTATCACCCCCCTCCACTATGCTTGTACCTCCACCTCAAACCTCCACAACCATTTACCCAATAAAATTGTTAAAAACCTTTAAATCTTCAACTCCCAATCCTCCCCTTTTTTTGAGGAGATGTGACTGTCTCCCAACGCACCAAATGAAACTCTTGCCCATCCTCCGCATCCCATACGAAATTTCTCTGAATCTTTTCCTACTTTTCAGTGACCGAAGTTGGAGCAAGGAACAAAGACAAGTAGTAAGTGGGGATTCTCAGCTCCTAATAAGCATTTCTTTCTGCCTTTGGACAAATATCTTTTTTGCCACCCTACTAGAGAAGCCTTTGAAGAATCGAATTCCACACCGTTTGATTCTTGTTCGTAGTGCCTAAAGGTACTCCAAGATAGGTAGTTGGAAGGGCCCCAACCCTACAATTCAAAACTAGAGCGAGTGATCCAAGTTATTCACCTTCGCAACTGGAATAATATCACACTTCCTCAAATTAATTTTGAAGCCTGATACCACTTGAAACCAAGTAAGGACTTGGCCTAAGTAATCCAATCGGGTCTCACTACATCACATAAATCAAGGTATCATCCACAAATAACAAATGAGACACTGAAACGGTCCCTAAAATTTCAACCACAACATTTAAATCCTTCAAATAATCCCCTAGAACACTTCTATTCATCATCATTATCTAAGTTTCTGTAACAAAAATAAACATCAGTGGTAGGGGATCCCCTTGTCTCAAACCCCTTGAGCTCACAAAAAACTGCACATGATTACTATTTACCATGACAAAAATCTCACCGAAGAGATGCAAAAATGAATCCATTTCCTCCACTTCTCCCCAAACCCAATTTGTAACATAATGAAATCTAGAGATCTCTAATTCATATGATCGTAGGCCTTTTCAATGTCAAATTTGCATAACACAACCTCCAAAATTTGTCTACCTTTCACAAAAGCATTCTGCGAAGTAGAGACGGTCTCGTCCAACACCTTCTTAGTGTAATGGAAAGCACCTTAGAAATGATCCTATAGATGCTTCCCACCAGACTGATAGGTCTATAGTCCTTCATGTTCGATGCTCCAACCGTTTGGAGATGATGACTATGAATGAACCATTCATACTTTTCTTTAATTCACCTCTATCTTGGAACATAACAATTGTATCCATCACATTGGTTTTGACCGTATTCTAGCACCGCTGGAAAAACGCCAAGAGACACCATCAGGACCAAGCACTCGTGTATTCATGTCTCATGCACATGCACGAGTGGTGGTATCAAATGGTTGAAGAGGCTACAAAGAATTGTTGTAAGATACAATAAACAAGTTATATTTAACGCATTGGGAGGTGGTACCACATCTCTTAAAAGGTTTGGTGTGCTCGAGTGACGGATCTCTTGGAAAGTGTCCTTGGAGGTTCATAAATTGGATATAGGCTCTGTGGAGGGCAAGTGATAACACATGACAACAAGAATGGGGCCGGGTGGCTAGAAACATTTTATTACCCTATGGATGTGGACTATGGGGATATATCATGAAGAGAGATGAAGTTTAGCGATCACATCACTTTTAAAGTTGACAGTGAAATATTTCAGATTTTGGAAGGATAGGTGGTGTGATGATGATATTATGATAATTTCCTTTCTGACTATCAACAACATTTTGGCCAAAAGGATATGATGACTCATGAGGTTTACAAGGCAGGACATAAGATGACATATTTATTGGGATTTGAGGTTCAGGAAAAATCCACAAGATTGGGAGAGATAAATTCCAAAACTTGATGAAATGTTTTGTAAACAAAACATCACACAGTTGGAAGAAGGCAGTTAGGAATTGGGATGGAAGGTGGTATTGTTCTAGCCTTCTCGGTGAAATTCCTAGTACCACAGGTTACCTAAAAGAGAGGATACAGGTTTGGGGACCTCTTTGTTTTGATTTTTAGTGAGCCAAGGGAGGTTTATTCGCTTTCTTTTACTGGCTGTAAGGACTAAGGAGGGTATTTTTTTGAGACAGGTAAGGCAGTAAGGAGGGTATTCTGATCGCCGAAAATCTTACTGGAAAAACAGCTATGTTACTAGTGCTTTATGCAAACGATTGACAAGAATTAGAGCACTGCCTGTCACAAGTTAGTTGTGGTACTTCCATATGGTGGACGGTGCTGAACCTCTTTGGTATATCATAGTTGATGCCTACCTACTATTAAGGATGTAATGCACTATTAAACTTTCAGAAGAAAGAGAAGAAGATGCACAGGGATGCTCTTCCTTTGACCCATGTGGGTACTTTGGAGATTGAGTAGGATAGACTTTTTTGTTTTTTGTGAATTATTGGTGTACGCACAAGGTCACCTTCAGTTTAGCTGAATTCCTATCTTGGTTTTCACATGACCTCAGTAAAATAATTAATTTATAAAAGAATTTCAGAATATAAGAAAGGACTCTTAAAGCATGGACATAGACATGATCAGACACAACTTGAGAATAAAGACACATTTTAAATTAGGGAACACGATACCATTAGTACAATATTTTTGTTTAATTTAAACATATAGCTTGGAATTGATATTTAATAAATAACAAATCATGAAGACATTATTTCATCTTAGCAATGTTATAAGGTGGCATACTTCTCATAAAGATTTAGGGGAGACCAAACAATCTAATATAGGAAACAATCTGCACATTTTGTATGAATTCAGGAAGGCTGATGTGTAAGTCAAGGATACAAGTCTGAGGAGAAAACGGGATCTTCATCAAAAAATAAAAAAGGTACATGATAGTGTCTGACGTGTGTCCTCATGTGTGTTATTTGTATTGGTGTTTAGGCCACACAGTCCAGATATATTACTATATTTGGGTCTTCTCATACAAAGGTCGATTCCATTGTTTTTAACATGGTATTAATATTAATATCACTCAACAACACCTTACCCAGATTGATATCACTTATCTGCAAAATTCAGTAGAAATTTCTTTCAACTTTACATGTGTATTGAACAGTCTTAATCTCAAGATGTAGGGTTGATCCAGGAAAAAAAGAGTCTAGAATCTTCTTAAAGTGCTTCTTTTGTGTTTTGTGCTGATGTTCTCGTTCTGGGATGCACTAAGTTTCCTGTGTCCTTGGTCGATCTGTTAGGATTACACGACCTCTTTTTCTGTTTAGACTGACTTCATCATGGAGGTTCTGCCACAGAGAGCTTGCTTGTGTTTTATGGTGGAGACATTTACATTGGCAGAGTTTTTATTGATATATTTCTTCCTTGTAGATGGTATCCAAGTTCTGGAACCTTTGGCGCTTGAACACCTGTTAAGATCAGACTTTTCTTCTCAACAAGAACTTGTAGCAAATTTACCACAGCATACCCCTTTGATTGAAGGTGCTAATGAGAGTTGCAGAATTTCTGATTCAGATGGAACAAGAGAGAGGATAGATGGTGAGAACTTGTATTATATCATATGGGAACAGTGGTTAGTTTTGAAGGAAAGATTGTATATGGTATTCTGTAGACTCACAGAGATCCATTTGGAGCTCTTGCAGGAAAAAGAACCCACATAGATTCTGATGTTCAAGCTTCTGGATTTGAGGATGGTGAAACAAATACAGAGAGAATCCAGCGTTCTGGTCAAGAACTGGATGCTGAAACATTGACTGATGTTTCTGGCAAGGTGGCTATTGGTGTTCAGTTTACTGATGGAGGTGATCAAGAAGCTATGGACGATTTAAAGCAAACATCACCAAGGTTTTAGTTATACAGCCGATTCCTTGTTCGGTATTTTTTGTTGTAGTTGGAAGTTGCGGGTTTATGCTGCTTTTGAATGTCTCTTATTGGAAGTTCTTTTCCATATAGTTTTAGTAGAACCAAGTTTGATAGTATCTAGTCTTTCCAGGTTGGATGTTCTCAAGACAAGGCAAAGAAGTTCGTCCCCTGCTGCTGATTCTAGGGGAGAAAGCAAAAGATTAGCAATGAGATGTGAGTTTTTTGCCAGGGGTTGGTGCATCAAAGGGAACTCTTGTAGATTTCTTCACATAAAGGATCATGTGACTAGCCATGATAAGGATGGTGGTCTAGATGATACAATGATAAAAAGCAAACTTGCAGATGACAAAGGTAATCCTGAACCGTAGTCCTTTAGGTTTTTGTTAGCATACTTTACTTTGATATTGTGAAACCTTGCTTAACTAATTGGGACGAGGTTCCTTATTACCTTTAGGTTTGGAAGAGAGTGGCAAAAGATCAGTGCTGGATGGTTCTTCTGATTCAGTACAATCAGCAGTTCAATCTGGAGAAAATCTGAAATTGAGAGGCGACGAGGAATTGCATATGCGTTCAGATGGACCTTCATCCACCCCAGACTTCAGAAGAGAGAGTCTTGGATGTAAACCGTACTTGGCTGGTTATAGCACCTCGTCTTCACCATTACTCAAAGATGGCTTCTTACATAAGAATATCCTCCATGATGGAAAGCTTAACTCAGTCCTGTTGTCTGACAGTTACCAAAATACAGTAGTTTCCCCTTACACCTCAGGTTTGGATGATATGAATCATAAGAGGAACCGGTCTGTGTTTGAAAAACATGGCTTGCGAGTCTTTAATGACTCTGTAGATAGGTTGTCTCATCATTGTTCTTCTTCGCGGAACATAGATGCCCTTGATGATCAGAAGCTTTTGGATTGTAGCCAAGAGTATTCTTCTTCTAGATCCACCTCTTTGCATCATAAGTCTTCAGCATTTCCTAGTTCCAAAACTGAACTTTCTCGGATTGATTTATCATGGGACACACGATACTCATCTGATTATAGAACTATGGCGCTTTTTGACGATTGGGAGCCATCTGTTCCTTTTCGACCATCATTCTTGCTTAGTCAAATGATCGGATGTCCTGAAAGTCTATATGATCCTATTCGTGATAGTATTGATCAAAGTAATGTAGGAGATGGACCCTCAAAATTGTCTTCCTCTGCAAAAGGAGGGCCTGTAGTAACCAAGCATATGCAGACAAATGCTGATCCAGTTTCAACAGGAACCTTGGGTCCAGAACAGAGCTCCAATAAAGTTCCAATTTCTGGTAATATCTACCATAGGGATATATTGCCTGACAACCTGTCCGAGAAAGATATGTCTACTAATGAAACAGATACAGCAGATACAGCAGTTGCTCATCAGGAAATCAATACCTCTTCAAAAGAAGAGAAGTATTCAAGATCTGCTAACCTCAGAGGTGCCACAAAAGCAGATAAACAATTATCTACTGAACTACCGCGCACCAGGACCAGAAAAAAGACACAATCAGAGTCTGAGAGGCTCAGACACGGAACTGAAATTGATATTGACCGGAAGACAGACAGATCTGTGAACAAAGAGTCTAGAGTTATGAAGCATTTTCATGCTGCTCTTGTAGAATTTGTTAAAGAACTATTAAGGCCAACTTGGAGTGAAGGTCTCATGAGTAAGGATGCTTACAAGATGATAGTCAAGAAGACAATTGATAAAGTTGTCAACTCTTTGCACCCCAATCAGATTCCTGGTACGGCTGAATCAATCAGACAGTATCTTGATTTATCTCAGCAAAAACTTGCTAAGCTCATTGAGGTCAGACATGCTTCAAAAATAATACCTATGCTTTAAAGAGTTCAGTCCATGTGAAGTCTGTTCATCCCTAATTTGACAAGTAATTTGTGTTTGCAGGCATACGTGGAAAAATATGGAAAATCGTGATAACATTAAATGAGCTTTGGTCAGCATAAGGGGTGCGTGGATATATATGGAAAATCTTGAATCTATTAAATCAGTTATGCTAAGCATATTGCCAACAATAGTGAATTGGTAAAGCACAATTTTGTGAGCCTAATTTGATACTTCTAGGGGTTAGAATGAAGACTTCGAAACCATTTATTTTGTGTACGGATTTTCTGTTTAGCTAGGAACTTTTCTGCTACCTTGTGTCCATAACTGAAGTCAACTATCGTACTGTAACTTCTCATTGGGGTTATAGCAATGGCAGTTCCTAAATAGGTTTTTGTGATTCACGTTGTTAAGAGTATTGAGTGTTGTTAGTTTAGAATATTAAAATTGTTTAAGGTTTTAAGCTAAATGTTGTCCGTGTCGTACAAATATTATATTTGTATGTGTTTGGCACCTACAAATAGGCGTCATTTATTGATCAAATTATCAAGTCATCAATATATCTGCTCCTTTTCTCTCATTCTCTGATCACATAGGTTTCAGTAACTTCTGTTTTCATTCTTCTGGCACACAAAGAGTATCATGGTCTATTCCACTGGCTTATGGATTTTACTTTGAGATGGTTTCAACCTAAGAAAATACACTAAAATATGTAAAAAGAAAACTTACCTTCTGCCTATGGCACTAATCAATATCTAAATAGTACTTCTCTAATGGGGACTTGGGTCAATGAAAAGGTTATCTGAATTTGGTTGTACATAACTTATGAAAATGTAATATGATGTAGATAGATTTTTTAGATTTTTTCAGTTACCTCTCAGGCTACAGTAGGTATGAACTGAGTTTTTGGAAGGTTCCTGGATATGGAAATTTCAAAAAAACTTGCAAGGATCCTGATGTAATCACTGCACAATCTTTGTGCTTCGTTTGTTTATAAAATGCCCATTTATCAGAAATGAAAATGTAGAGAACTTATAGTACTTCTTCTTTGTATTTGCATATAATTTTGGTTTGAGATGAGTTTGATTGGAGAAACATGATTCATGAGGATTCATATAGCCGGCCCCAACTAGTTTGGAATTGAGGTGTATTAGTACATGTTGTAGTGGGAATTAGGGTGGTTCGAAATCAGATCGAAGCCGATAACCCGAACCAAAAAAAAGTTATTCGTTCATCGGTAATGGGTTATTGGTTAGCGGTTTTGGTAATGGTTTTGATTTTTTTATTATCGGGGTATCAATTCTTAACTGTTTGAAGCTTTTTCTTAACGGGTTAAACGATATCCCGATAGTAAATTAAATAATTATATTTATACCATTTGGTATATAAAGTCCTTGACTTAAAGTTTAGTTTCATACTTTTATTTTAGGTTGTCTCAAACTTTCGGTTATTCTACAACGTGACAGTGTTTGCTTTTGAGCAAGATGCATTTTGGCAACTCATGTGCATAGTTCATTTAGTTTGTCACCTTGTTTCTAAGTGATTTTCCATAATTTATTTTGTGTCAAATCTTAACGGTTAAACAGTAAGTATCAATAACCAATAAGCCAGTATCTTTTTTTTTTGAGAAGGTAACATTTGTGGGTTGCACTGACACCATATTTACAGCAGAAAAAAAAAAGACATATAGCTGACTCTAATTCTAACAAGTTCCTAGGATGTCTATAATTGAGTCAGTGTCTTCTAAGTATATTTGTTTACACCAGAAACAAAAAAGTCTAGTGCAATTTAGTTTGATCATCTGTAGATCACAATTTTTGCTCTCAAAACATCTTGAATTCCTTTTCTTTCATATTGTCCACCAGATACAATCCAGGACAATCCTCCATCTGTCTTTGTCAGCAGCTCCTACTCCTGCTTCCTCCCAGCTATATAGCAAATGAGTTATTTTGTTAGGCATGACCCAACTAATACCCCTAAGGCTAACAAAAATTCTCCACAACTGAGTAGTTGTCCTGCACTGTAGAAACAGATGGCTAACTGTCTCAACCTCTTCACCACAAAGGTAACATCTGGAACACAAGGAGAATTTCCTCTTCTTGAGGTTCTCGTGTCAAAACAGTCTCTCTTGCCAATAACCAAGTAAAACAGACAACTTTGAAGGGGATTTTGATCTTCCATATATGCTTCCATGGCCAATGTTGTCTTTGTAGATTTCCTTGGTTCAAAAACTTGTAAGCAGAGTTCACCCTGAAACTATCTTTGCTATCCAACTTCCACATATGTCAGTCTCTTTCTTCACTAGTCCCTTTAAATTCCTCCAACATTCTGAAGAACTCAATGACTGAATCAATTTCCCAGTCATTGAAGTTCCTCCGATAAGCCAATATCTTAGCGGTTCTATAATGGTTTAGCATGTCTACAAATTAATAACCGATAAGTCAAACCGATTAACTTCAAAACCGAACCGAACCGACCGATACGCAACCTAGTGGGAATAGTTTGACACTTTCTGTATGTTGATGTTATCAAAGGCTAAAAGCGAAAAAAATTCCCACTATAGTTGCGTTGTTGTTGGAGCTTTGAGTGCTAACCAAAATCGATGTTCAACTTCAAGGCTTAAATGCGCCTCAATTGAGCCTTCATTAACACCCATTCTTGTATTGAGTAAAAAGTGTTTTGACATTTTGTCTTTTTGTATTTGACTGCGTAACTATGTATACACAAATTGATGGATCTTATAACATTTGGCTAGGCGTTCCTACATTGTTGAGTGAGGAATCTGTTGAGACCATAGCCATATGCTTAGGCTTTGACTTATGAATTTGGAAATTATCTATGATGTAGTGCCAAAAAGAGAAACAAGAGAGGAAGTATCGTAGAAATAGACAGAAATAGCGATTGGAGAAGGAAATATAGAGAAAATGAATAAGAAAGAAATGGAGAGATATCAATTTATCAAATATTATTTAAGTTAAGTGTATAGCAAACAAAGTTTGTAAGTATCCTATATATAAAGTAGGAACTCTGAATTTGGAATTCCTAAAATAAAGAAAATTCTATCTATAACTAGGAGGTAAAAACACCAATAGATAAAATCTTATCTCTCGCTAAAAGACGAGAGAAAATCTCATCTTGCTACATGTTCAAGGTGCTATATGTCAAGAGGCTGAAGTAAACGACCATTTATTTCTGCATTGTAAGATAGCTACAAATCTGTGGAACATGTTCGTTTGTATACTCGGGGTTAATTGGACAATACCCAGAACCACTTTTGAGGTACTAACACACCGGCAAGGAATTGGGAAGAGAGTATCAAAGGAAGATTGGTGGAAAATGTCCCTGCTTGCATCTGGTGGACAGTATGGAAATAAAGGAATGAGAGGTGCTTTGAAGGGAGGGTTAGCAGCTCCCAGATGATCAAGATGAGATGTCTTAGTCTTTTGTATTTATGGTGTAAGCAAGATTTAGTGGGGGAAGTAGATAGTTTAGTGGAGTTTATAGGCCAATTGTAAATTTTTGAAAATTTGTTTTTGGATTTGAGAATGATGGCACCCCCGTAAATCCCTCCTCATTAATTTCTTGATGAGTTCTTTTGTGTGAATACAAAGTTACCTATTTCAAAAAAAAGAGAGAAAATCTCATCTTAAAGATAAGATTGTCTTTATTTAATGTTTCAATTACTAGATAAACCTAAAAAATATCTAGATGATCTTATGTTCTCCTATGATGATTGGAAACCAATATAGGTTATTGTTTCTTTTGCAACTCCTTGACGATTTGAACCACTAAATGTTGTAGTTGAGATTAGAAGATGAAGAAGTTCATTAGGAGTTGAGATTCTGGAGGTACTTGCAAGATTGGGAGGTCACATAGTTCCAGACTTCGATGGAGTTGCTTAAAAAAACAAAGTACGTCACATGGCAACCATGAGTCATGATGTACTTTTGGTTAAGTCCTATTATGGGAATCTTTTGAATAGGAAGGAGTCTATTATTCCATATCTCGGGGTGTGGATTGCAAGATATGGTAACACCACAAAAAATGGAAAAATCGACTCCTTCCATATCTTGCGTTGTGGATCTTAACACACTATTTTGTTGTTGTTATTGTTTCTTTCTTGTAGACGTTATACTGCTTTCTTAGTAACTGCTATGCTTTCTTCATTGTTTTCTTCTTTTATTTGGGTTTGATGCACTCGAGCCGAGGGTATTTCAAAAACAACCTCTCTACCTCCACGAAGTAGTAGTAAGGTATGTGTACATTCTACCCTCCCCAGACCTCACTTAGTGGGATTTCATTGGGTATGTTGTTGTTGCAGTGTGGATCCCCAAAGTACCGAGAAAGGTGTGTTTTTTCCACTTGCTAGTTGTGAAAGGGGTAATATTGATGGCCGAGAACTTAAGGAAGAGGAGGCTTACATGTGTCGGTTGGTGTTAAATGTGCGAAAATTTGGGTGAAGATGTCAATCTCCTCCTTTTACACTGCCCAATGGCATTAGTTTGTGGTGGGAGTTACTGTATTGGTTTGTCTTCAATGGGTGATGCCAGGCACAGTCAAAGAAGTACTGTTTGGCTGGACTTTTCGAGGGCGGGATAGAAGACACAGGGCGTGGGATGTGGCTCCACTTGCACTTATGTGGACTATTTGGAGAGAACAATATTAGAGCTTTTAACAGTATAGCAAAGGGACATCAACATTGCCTCTAGATGCTTACTATGCAAAGAGGCACTAGAAACCAACAAACATTTACATTGCGAAGTAACAACACAAGTATGGGCTTTATTCTTCAATTTGGCTAGCCTAAACTGGTGTATGCCAGAATACACAGCAGACTTATTGAGCTGTTGGATCAGAAAGGGGGGCAGCAAGAGTCAAAAGAAGTGGTGGAGGACAGTACCTGCTTGCATCTGGTGGAATATTTGGAAGGGAAAGGAATCAGAGGATTTTTGAAGGAAAAGAATGCTCAATACAGAAGTTAAATGGAAAGTAAGTACTTCCTTAGGTTTTTGGTGTAAAGAATAAAATATAGAAGAGGAAATCCAATTAGTGGATTTCATAGGTTCTTTGTAATGTAAGTTCTGTTTCTTTTTTCCTTCTTTTTTTCTCTCTCTTCTCTGTTAATACTTTTTGGAAGTGGCCAGCATAGTCCTTAATGCTGAGGTAAGTTACCAGTTTCAAAAAAAAGTATAGCGAAGGACTATGTACACCTAAAGAATAGCTTTGTATCCTTGATTTCTTTTTGGTACACCCATGAGGTTACATTAGTTAGGTATAGAAGATCAGGTGTTGCTCCTAGGAAGTCATTTTTTGTAAGATTTTTTGCCTTTTGGTATACTTCTTGTTATGTAGGTATTTTTTTTTGAAACTGGTAATGTTGTATTCTTCGGCATATAATGCTGGCAACCTTCAAAAGAGAAACAGGGAGAAAGGGGAAGGAAACTACTTACAATGACCCTAACAGATCTACTAATTCTAATAAATCTATGTCGATCTTTTAACACCAAAAACTACTTACAATTCTAATTCTTGTATGTGGGTATTTTATGCCCTTTGCTTATAAAAGAATTTATGACCTGA